CATTTTGATGTGCATGTAAGTGCTTTAAGGTAAGCAACTTTATTTTGCGGGTATATGAGGTTGTAGTTGCATTTCGTACTTATTGTATTTTCCGTTGTTTCTTTTATAATTTTATTTTGTTTATTGTTTGTTTAAAATTTCTTTACCATCGGCTTATTAAGGTTAGCGACTCCACTCCTGGCTCAGATATGGCCAGAATGGGTGCTTCTTTGAGAAAATGCCCTGATGTTAAGACAGAGAAATTAGAGGGGTCTTGCGAGAGTACAGTGATTGGCCGTGAATTGAAAACGGCTTCTTTTCAAGTTAGTAATGTGGTAAATTCGATATATTTATATTTGCAGTATACATCTACTTTTTTGAAGTAGGAGGATAGCTTTTTATAGCTGATTCCTATTAACCACCCATATGAAGAGCGCTTACATCGATGCGATAACTGCGACCTTTGCTTTCTGTAAGTCTATGAGCGTAAATGTATCAAATTGGGAGTATGGTGATCCCTTACCTTTATTTTATATTTGTTTCATAATTATGAAAATTTAGGAAACTATAAGCCACTATAGTAAGATAGGTGTCAATTTTTCGACTTTCTAGGACAACTATGCTGCGAACGATATTACGCATGGACGTGGGCGATTGTGGTCAAGAATCGGGAGATTCGAATATCGCTTAGATTGTTTGAGAATTGTGACCAGGATTTTCGCTTGTATCATAATTGGCGAGAGCCATCGTGCGGGGTCAAAAATGTTATTGTGGATAATGCGGATATTGACTCAGTAGGATATGAAAGCTGATTAGATATCGCTTTCCATTGAATCCCCTGTATTTTTATGATGTAATGCCCTTTTCAAATTTAAGTAAATTAGTGTACAACAAATTTTCTTTTCGAATATTTAGTAATATATCCGACGATTTAGTTGAATTATATATATTTGTGTTTTTAACACTGGGGTTGTCAGAAGAAACTCTGACAAGGTTTTTTGTGCCAATTTGTAGAGTTGGAAGATTGTGGCTTGGGTGGTAGTCAGTGCCGGTTTTAGTACTACCAGCGCCCTGGGCGTGATTTCTACGGCGCCTCCTAACTGCAATTTAAACCCATACGAAAAAAGGCGAAGGATAATAATGAAATAACCATTTATGAAAAGAAATAAACATTTATTAAAAAAAACTAATAAACTTTTACTTTTCTAGCCTTTCAATCGGCGAACCCTTTTATTAAGTTATCAGAGTCGATGTTTTCAGCAATTTCATTTTCGATTGACAAAGTTGCCAAGTTTGTCAATCTAGATTGAGATATTGTCGATCGCAGATAGGTTTTTATCAGCTTAAGCTTAGAAAAACTCCTCTCTCCACTAGCAACCGTTACGGGAATAGTTAATAATATTCGTAATGCTATCCAAACATTTGGATATAGTTCTTGTAAGTTGCGGTCTTTGATAAAATTTAAAACAAAAACAGGAGTAACCACTTTCTGATCAGGCAAAAACGATTTCAGACTTACGAGTTCATCGCACAACATACATCCATCTATATCTGATTTGGAATTTACATTTAATTTCAATTGAAGATCACTGCAGCGTTTGATAAGGTCGTGTTTTTCTGGAAAGTTGAAAAATTCAACCTCAAATTTTTTTTCTGGAGAAGTTATAGGCTCATCTTGGACAGTTTCACCAGCTTGGCGCTTAACACGTCGAATTCTTGTTGTCGCTCTAAACACAGGTTCTATTTCTAACTCTTCAGCCAATTCCTTCGCAGTTAAAATGGCGCTTTTAAAGCCTGTATTTCTATATTCTTCCAAGAAATTGCAGCATTTTTTCAACATGTCTGTGCATTTACCGAGATCCATGTCTGTTGATTGTAGAGATTTACTAACGACATTAATTTAAAAAAGTATGTCATACCAGACAACCAATGAAACTATGAAGCCGAAATATTTTAGCTGTTCGGCTAGAGTAGTAGCCTCATGAGAGACTTGAACATCAGTTTGCTGAGTTTCAATAACCAAAGTGATTAAAGCGTCATGGACGGCGCTAATTTGATAACGGACTGCTTTAACACTGCCTATTTTTGCTTCCCAACGCGTGTCACTGAGTTTTTTTATAGTGTACAATCCCAAGTGATCGGTCAGAATTTTCCATCGATGAACAGAAGCTAAAAACAACGTAAACAACCTCTGAAGTACTCCAAACAAAGTGACAGATTTTACAGATGACTTAGCGGCATCGCATAGTACGAGATTGTAGCTATGACAGCCACACGGTACATATACAGCTAAAGGATTTATGTCCAGAATTCTCCTTTGAACTCCAATATTTTTTCCTTTCAGTTTTGCTCCGTTGTCATAGCCCTGACCTCTACAGTCGTTCAATTCCAGTCCGTATTTATTTAAAATATCAATAATAACTTCAGTCAGCCTTTCACCAGTCGACTCATTAACAGGTAAAAATTCTATGAAATGCTCTTTTACTGATATTTTATCGACATCTGATGATAAATCAACAAATCGTATTGTCAGTGAAAGCTGTTCTACATGACTAATGTCCGGAGTACAGTCAGCTATAATAGAATAATATTTCGATTTCTTTGCACGTGATATGATTTCTGACTTCGCTTTTTCACCCATCAGCTCTATTAATTCATTTTGAATGTCTTTTCCGCAGTAGTGATCAGAAACATCACCCTTTACAGCTAATCGCAAGTGCTCCTCCATAACTGGATCAAATTTGGCTAGTAGTTGTACTAAACCCAAGAACTTTCCATTATTTGGCGTATAAAGTTTGTCGGAAGTACCTCTAAACGCCATATTGTTTTTAGCTAAATACAGTGTAATATGCATTAATCTAGACAAAATATTATTCCACCTTGTGGTTTCCTTTCTAATCAAATGTTGCTCTTGACAATCTATTGTTTTTCCCGTTTTTAATCTTAGTTCAGCCTCAAGCCATGAGAGGTAAAACTTCTTATGAAAAGTGCTACTTTCATGAACTTTTAACATTTCTGATAAGTGTTTCCAGTCGTTATATCCTTCAGATGCTAAATTCGACGTTGAGCTGCTATCAAATAGCCGGCAACAAAAACAGTAAACTCGATTTTTAGAAACTGAGTATATTAACCAACGACGCTGAATTATTTCATTGTTTGCAAGTTTTTTGGTAAAATGAGAATTTGAGAAATGTCGCCCTGTATCATTCTTTGGATAGTTATCAATGTGAGTTTGCACTGGGCCATTAGTTATTATATGATCAATAATTTTGCTATTTCGAGTGAGTGGCCAAGTGGCTGGATCCGATATATTTGGAACAAGAGAACTAACGTCATCTAGAATTTGTATTTGTTGTACATCACCAATAGTGTCATCCTGAGCAGCATCTGTAATTGTAACACAACTTGTCTCCTCACTTCGGGAAACTTCGTCCACAATCTCTTCAACAGCTAACTGATCTGACTTGTCAGACAGAGACTCCACTACCGATGCATTCGCTTGTATTTCAGATGTAGATGCCACATTAAGGTCTTGATTTTTGGTTGTGATATATTTGCCTATATTCATAAACTTTTTTGTTTTTTCCTTCTCTTTTTGACCCAGATGGTTTTCTTTTGAAAGGATCAACGTGTTCAGACATTTTGTACTAATCAAATCTGCAACAAATTAAATCTGCGTTAGTCCGATCATTTCTATAAATTAATTAAATATAATGCTATTGAGTGAGGACGACCAAAAACGCTTTATATTCAGGAAAGCGTTAGCATACACGTGAACTACGATCGAAAAATCTAGGTAAGGTAATATTGTCATGGCAGCGGAATAATTGTGAAATGTTATATTTAAAAGCTTGTGTTACGTGATAGTGCTTAGATTTGTATGAAAAAAATCATGATCATAAACTCGTTCCCGAAAAAATTACTTCTATGTAGTGTTCATTCACTTTTAAACTTGACCGTACCTCCTCGACATTCATTTATTATCTCCGTGTTAAAATTTCATCAACATTATATAGTCAGTTCCAGAGATATTTTATAATATATAATTTACTTTAAATAGATTACCCCACTCCAAACATAGCATAAACAAACAAACAAATGTTACCTCTTTAGTATAATAAGTAAAGATAGTTAAAATAAAATTGTACTTACCTAATTAGTGAAATAATCCGTCATAAAGCAAATACCTACTTAAACACTATTTGTATTTCAACTTTTTGGATAAAACCTATGTCACTCTGTAGTCGGCGACAAAAAGTAAAAAACATTCACTTCGTAACTTAGCGTGGACCGCCTGATTACTGCGTCTGTTTGTTTTAATCAAAAATAATGCCAACTCTTTTAAACTAAAATGTTAAAAAGAGATAGATAATGTGTTTCTCTGTGGTCGGGGATTCCCAGTAAAATGAACTGTATGTATGTAGTGCTCCGACCGAACGGATTGAGCACTGCGTTCCATTCTAGTGTTGCCAACACATCGTTTTTTTTTTTCGTTAACAGAGATGGGAATATAAAGGGGCGCCCCTTAAAGTCCGGCGCCCCTGGGCGGTCGCCCAACCACGCCCTACCCTAACGCCGGTACTGGTGCCCTTGATTCTGCGTCTGCAGACTGCTGTGCAGTTCATCAGCAGATGTTCGGGGGTTTCCGGCTCTATGTCGCAGAACCGGCAGTTTGCAGAAGAGGCTATGCCCATGTTAAAGAGATGCTTCTTGAGCCTGCAGTGGCCGGTGTAGAACGCTACCAGTAGCCGGAATTTGTTCCTTGGGAGATTAATTATGGCATTGAACCGCTTGAGGTCGTAACCCCCCATTAGTAGTCTGGCATGGTGCTGAGTATAGCGATACTTTTATTGCGATAGTTGCGTTGGAGATTTATTCCTACACACCGACTTATAGCATAGACCTCGGCTTGGAAAATGCTAGGGAAACTTCCCATGGGACATCCTTAAACGATACACAGTTTTCTGGACATCAGTTACACGCAAATATTGTCGTTAACCGTTTTCGCAAATTCAACGTAGCAATTACTGCAGACGTTAAGAAAATATTTCGACAAATATTGATAGACACACGACATCGTAAATGGCAACGATGGCGTGAATCACCAGATGAACCTCTTCAAGTATATGAATTGAAGACGGTAACTTATGGAATGGCTTGTAGCCCATTCAACGCAATACGCGCACTGCGTCAATGTGCGAATGACAATTATAAGGTCATCTATGACCCAAGCCGGGCTGCCGCAGCGCGTCATAGTATACTTTATAATTTCTACGTTGATGACTATTTGGATAGCGTCGACAGCGACGAACTTTCCGCTACCCGAGCTCAAGACGTAGCAATGGTTTTGAAACAAGGACAATTAATATTGGGAAAGTGGAATTCCAACTCTACACATGTATTATCTACAATAACCGGTACAACAGTTTCCGCATCGGAACTGGAGTAAGACAACTCAACGACAAAGGTATTGGGTCTTTACTGGGATCCAGTGAGTGACGAACTCTTCTTCAAGGTAAGCATGATTGACGACACCTCAATGCATACTAAACGAAGGGTTTTGAGTGACGTGGCGAAATTATACGATCCAACTAGCACCTGTAATCGTGTTGGCCAAACTATTCATACAGGACTTATGGAAAGCTGGTCTACCATGGGATGCCGAACTCCCAGCAGAGCTGCTCAATACATGGTTGATATTTCGGAATAGCTTACAAGATATTTCACGGCTTCGTATTCCTCGTTGGCTGGGAATACGAGTGGGCTCTTTAGTGCATTTACACGGCTTTTGCGATGCTATTAGTAAAGCATACGCAGCAGTCGTATATGTTCAAACCATCGATAACAGCAGAACGTCCCGCACCGTTCTTGTTTCAGCGAAGTCGAAGATAGCACCAATTAAGGATGTGACTATACCGCGCCTCGAACTATGTGGTGTTCATCTTCTAACCAAGACGCTGGTGGACGGGATACATCGAGGTGTGGGCTGTACAATGAGCCTACCCGCTTTGACGGAAGAGGAAGAGCAACTCTCCATAGCTGAATCTCGTCCGGTCTCCATCTTCGTTTCTAGAGCTGATTACCAGTGGATTATGACATCCACAAAAGACAAGCGGATACCTCTCTTAGAGAAATTTAGCAAATTGAGTCGTTTACTCAACACCACTGTTTGGTTAAGGCGATGCATCACGCCATATGATACACATTTACATATATATAAGGATAGTTCCCATTTACATTCCCTACGCTAGAGTGGAGTGACTAGGCTAAGAATTCAATGCTAAATGGAGGACACAATTATGCTGATCATTCAGCAATCAGCTGACTGGCATTGATTTGTGTCCTTGCTAATTATGCACAGGACTGCATTCTAATGTACTTAAATCTTGAACAAGCAGCATGGTACTTCTTGGCATTTTTCGAGATTTCGCACTTCGGGATTTGTTGTTGCAACTAAACCCGTGGCTCTTTTCATATTAGCGCTGTTTGGGGGTGAACTGGAAAAATTATTTAAATAAAGCACAGAATGATGTCGTTTATGACAATAAACGCAATTGAACTTGCTTTCGCAATCTTTTAGTGAATGCGCATGTGACATATAGTTTGTACAAAGTCTTTTGTTCTCCCATAGAAGTAATGATTTTTCTGGTAATGCGGCAGTGCATATGTTTACCATTTAGGGTCCCAGCTGTCTGTGGGAATATTTTGTGTCGATAAAACCGACAAACAATTTGAAACAGTGGATTGAAGTTTGATAAATTCTTCACTTGTTTCCTTTTGAATTTTTGGCAAGTTCAATAATATCGATATTTGTTTATCGACCAATATTCTTTCATTTCGAATCTTGATTTAAGAGCTTCCCAAGCCAAATTGAAATTATCGTCATTTAGTGCGAACTGTTTACTATTACGTCTGCTTGACCTTTTGTTTTGTATCGGAGGTGATAAAATTTTTGTGCATTTGATAACTTTGGATGGTTTATGTAAACGGCCGTAAACATGTCTCGGAAGGACGGCCATTGTTCATAACCCCCATGAAAAATTTTCTGTGTCACATGCGGGCACCTTGAGATGGATGCCTGAGCTTGCCTCTTGGCATTGAATTTCTGGCAGCTCTACTCTTGGCTGTGGAGTAGGTGCAATTGCTTTGATTAATTTTAATTGGTCAGAAATCATTGCTTTTGTTTCTTCGAACTGGTCTAAGCAGTTTTCGTATTTGGGGTAAGCCGAAGCTTTGAAATTTTCCGGTAGATCTGAGTCGTTAGATTCTGCGATTGCGTCATATGCAGTTTGGAGACGCTTCCAAAATTTGTCAAGATTGTCCTTTTTGATTTCTAATACCCATTCAGAATTGTCTTGAATCGGCGAAGATGAAAATCGAGTGCAGTATCGTATTAGACTGTCACTTTCTGCAATGAATTTGGCGTATGAAATGTCTTTTATCTTTTTTTGTTTTGTAGCACCTTGCTTTGAGCCTGTAGCTTCTGCAGGTGTACATGGACTCTTTTCGTCCGAAATCATTCTTGGTACTTTTAGATATTAAGTTGGTTTAGATTCCTTAGAATCTGCGTTCATTTATAAAGACGAAGGTGAAATTAAAAATTTAATTTTTTTTTGTTTTAGATTTATTTTTTTTATTTTTTCTCTCAGTGTACACTGATGATATTCGATAAATAAAGAAATTACCTTTTAGATAAATAGGATTTTTTTTGTATCCGGACTTCGCCAATAACAAACGCTTATTTCGTTTTCTTAGTTTTAGATTTTATTTAGTTCCGGTTTTTTATTTTTCCTCTCTTTGTGTTTTATAATTTATTGTTACGTACTCGATTGTATGTATGTTAATTGTGTACATTACCGCTTTTAAAATGAGGTTATTAACCTTTGTACATAAGCGTGAACGTTATGTGCGTATTTATGTGCATATGTAATATGCTTAAATTTGTTTGCAATCCTGCTTGCTTGTGCTTGAACAAGAACAAGGGGTATTGCCAGAAAAGTGCCGATATGGACTTTAAATATATGTACAACTGTGTGTGTACTTGTTATGCGCTATTCCCACCAAGTATAACTTTGTCTTTGTTTTTTCGTTTGTTAAACCGATTGTTCTTGTGCCCTTGTTTTTTGTTGTAATAAATTTTATTTTTGTCTAAAAATTTAATAATTTCTTCTTATGTACCGCAACGCTTAGTGTTAGGAAATTTTGTTATTATTAGGTTTAATGTCTTTTATTGTTAGCAATAATTTTAACTATTTTTAAATATTGTACCCAATGTATGTAGGGTATACAGGCATAGACAAATTTTAAGCCGTGTGTATGTATGTATATGCTTGTTAGGTTGGCTATCGGAATGACGAGGGAAAATAAAATAAATAATGTGCAGGTACGCACTTTTGAGTTCGTATCGTTCTTGTAACTATGTCAAAAATTATTCGCTTCGTAACTTGGTTAGTTACGTATACGTAAACGTATATAAAATGTGATATATAGAGTATGTAGATTTGTATGAACTTGGCAAGTAACCGTGCAGATATTATATGTATGTATTTTTTTTTTCGTTTGAATTTTATTTATTTTTCCAATTTGCCTTGCTTACTTATTTTGCGCAATCCTGCTTATGATTTATTAAGCATAAGGGGCATTGCCGGAAAAAGTGGTCAAGTACTTGAAAAAAAAATTTTTTTTTAGTTTTTTGTGTTTATTAAATTTGTGTGTTTGGATACACAAAGGTAAGCATGTATAGGCTTTGGTGTCTTATAAATAAATATGTTTTATACATATACTTGTAGATATACATATATATATATATATATATAATGTATTATGTGATATATATATATATTGTATTGTATATATTATAGGTTTGTTGCACTTTTTTATGTATTTTGTTATTATATATATATTTTTTGTATTTATATGTTATCTTGATATCTATTTTTCCGCACTTTTTGTATATATGTATATATTTTTACGGCACTGTATATGTATATATATGTATATGTATATATATATATATTTATATTTTTATATTCGGCACTTTTTTTTTATATATGTATAACCATTTGCACCGCACTTGCTTGTTTCACAGTACACTTTTGATTTTTTTTTTTGTTTTAGGTTTATGTATTGTTCATATAAATATTCATCTCCGCACTTTTGTTCTTTATTTTATTAAATTTTTTTTTTCTAATAGTGCCTTTCCGTAAGGCTCGAAGGACCAATGAATAATTATGCTACAAGGTTAACACTCACCAAAGATATGTTATTTCACTTTTTAAATTAAACATTTTTATTTCTTTTTATTTTTTTTATAAAATGTTATTTTCACAACCTTTGTACTAAAAGTTAATACCACGATTTTAAAGAGGTCGGTAGCGGAGATAGCGATTTCACGGTGACGTAGCGCAAAAAAAGCCTTGTGGTCGCTCGTCGTCCCGTTTTTACCTCCTTCGGTGTGGTGTGTAGTGTGTCTTCATGTGTGGGGTGATCGTGGTGGTAGGGTTGGTGTGGAATGATAAGTTGAGTTACTCATTTAACCACCAGGGATATCACTACGCCCTGGAACTAATTGCAGGTTTATCGTGAAATAAGATGTTAGGTCCTCTTATAGATCGAGACATTCTTTCAATATCTTTGATGAAACCCCTTGGAGACTTCAGTGATTTCAAAGCCGCTTGGCTATCCGTATATATAATATAAATATGATCCTTGTTGTGAGCACACTTTTTGTCAGAACAACAAGGCTTTCTTTGATTGCTGCGATCTCCGCTTAGAAGACATCGCAGTGGTCTGGTAGCCGGAAGGCGATTTGGTATCTAATTTTCTTTATGGTGGGGAAGGCAATAATGGGGAACGAATTTGGTTTCAGTTCTATTGGATTACGGAAATCTGTGGTAGTGGATAGAAACGAGAACTTACTACATAGCTTGGAATGCCCCTTGTTGCACGCGACTAATTGGGAGCATTCCCTCAGTCAGACTGCTGACTTCGCTGCCACTTGCTTACAGAACAAGTCTGTTGGCAGTAGATGTAAAATGACGTTTAGTGCCTGACTTGTCGTTGTTAAGAGCTCCACTGATGCATAAACTGGGTGCGCTTTGCATGCTCTCCATACGCCTCACCGCGTATTTCCTGCCTCTTAAGCGCGCTCAGTATGGCCCTAGGCTGGATATTAGTGATGGTTCCTTCTATATCTAAGAAGGCAATTAGAGTGTATTCTTAAATTTCAGAGATTTTTTTATCTCCGCCACGACAGAGCTTAGTGCAGTTTCTGTAGATTTTCCTTTAGAAGAGCTTTTAGTTTGTTTTTATATGTATTTCTATGAGAATTTCCAACGTTTTTAGGAGAAATGAGGAGAGGCTAATTAGTCTGAAATCCTTTGGACTTGTATTTGAGCTTTTGCCTGCCTTAGGTATGTGTTACGTTGACTTTCCCCCATAGCGAAGGAATATATTTTAATTGCAGTGTCACCTTAAGAATGGTTACTAGCCAATATATTATGTAATTCAGCAACTGCTGTAATTGAGCCGGGAATAGACCGTCTGGTCGGCGACTTAGGGCTTGAAGCTATTTATTGTCCAGCTTACGTTGCTTTCTGACACCATATCTACAGGGGTGGAGTCTATTTCTGCTCCGCTGTTTTTTGTATATTCTTCCGTATGGCTTTCAGAGCTACCTGGGAAGTGGGTATCCATTAGTAGGCCTAGTGA